CAGACGCATATCTAGTCGGGTCGCGGGGGCAGCAGCTTAAGCCAAGACGCACAGACGTCCCTCTCTCCAGCTACTTAGGCCAACTCTTACGGGGGAATCCTAAGGTGTTCCCTGGCCAGGTGAGAGACAGTCCTTCCAGCATGACCTGGGTCTCCCCTTAGGTCTCCTCCCAGTTGGACGTGCCCAGAAAGCCTCACAAGGGAGGCATTCTGACTAGAGGCCCAAGTCACCTTAACTGGCTCCTCTCGACGTGGAGGAGCAGCGCGTTTACTCCGAGCCCCTTCCGGATGACCAAACTTCTCACCCTGTCTCTAAGGGAGAGCCCAGACACCTTGCAGAGAAAACTCATTTCAGCCGCTTATATCAGCAATCTCCTTCTTCTGGTCACTACCCAAATCTCGTGACCATAGGTGAGGGTACGAACGTAGATCGACCGGTAAATCGAGAGCTTTGCCCTCCGGCTCAGCGCTCTCTTCACCACGACAGACCGGTATAATGCCTGCGTCACTGCAGACGCAGCACCAATCCGCCTGTCGGCCTCACACTCCAGCTTTCCCTCACTCATGAACAAGACCCTGAGATCAAATCAATCAAATCAAATCAAAGCTTTATTTATAAAGTGCCTTCCGTGACCCTGTCAGGAAGCCCAAGGCGCTGAACACAGTACATAATAAATGTGAAACACAATGAATAAATTGATAATAAAAGCAATTCAAATAGTGCAAAAAAGGTAAAACATTAAAGTAGAAACAAATGGATAAAACAAGGGATAGAGTGAACCAATGAAAACAGGGAAATAAAATCAACATAAAAGTGGGCCAACCTCAAACACGTTCAGGGAACGCCAAGCAGAGGAGGTGGGTATTTAGGTGACTCTTAAAGACCTGCAGAGATGGGGACAGCCTAACTGAGGGTGACAACTGGTTCCATAGTGACGGAGTTGGGACTGAGAAAGCCCGGTCCCCGCGAGTACGACACCTAGAACGAGGGACAGCGAGCAGGCATTGGTCAGAAGAGCGCAGAGAGCGTGATGAGGAATGTCTGTTCAGGAGTGTGGCTAGATGGGGGGGATCACCACCCTGGAAGAAATTGAAAACAAAGACCAGGAGTTTTAAGTGTGAAGATAACAGACGGGAAACCAGTGCAGGGAGGCGAGAACCGGACTGATGTGGTCCCGTTTCCTGGTCCCAGTCAGAAACCTGGCTGCGCTGTTCTGCACAGCCCGCAGGTGGCGCAGTGATGACTGACCGAGTCCTGCATACAGAGAGTTGCATTATTCAACTCTAGAGATAATTAAACTTCTCCTCTTGAGGCAGGACCTCAAGTGGAGATGACATCTAGAATACGGAGATTCTAAGACCTCAAACTGATATCATTAAAGATGTGCGTGGAAGTGTCTATTGATGCTGGCTCCATAAAGGGTTAATGACTGAATGTTACTTGCAGTTAGTTATTTTTTTATCAAGTTAGTAAATTTTTTATCAAGATTTAAAATTCTTTTTCACCAAGAAGCTGTAATATTTGTTCTTTTTGTCATTCTGAGTCGTGTAAGCAAGATTTTTTCCATCGCAGAAAGGAAATGGACGGGAAAATGATCAGGTCAGAAAAAGCCAGTCTCTTGTACATTACAGATTCATTAAAAACGAGTGAGTGAGACCTTTAACCATTTTTATACTGGATTTGTAATGTCAGAGGACACAGAATGAGTAAAACAAAGACTAAACACCTCCCCTCCACAAAATAACCTTTTTAGAATATTACTCATTCCAAACCCACAAATTCAGTCTTGTCAAGAGTTAGAGTAGAACCAGCCTCTTAGGGCAAAACCCTGACAGTCAAAGCAAGATTTGTCTAATGGAGGCTTTTAGCAAAGGTTATTAGCCTTGTATTATTGCAGTCAAGTGAAAGGTTCCTATTATTATCATCTGTGTACACTTGATTCGCACGTGTGTAAATGTTTCGCTTTAATTTCAGGGCAGTATGTCAAGTATTTGTAGGAACATCTTTGTGAACTCTTTAAGTTCTCCGTCTGCCTTTATCCATTCTGCTCTGTTGCCATTTACACATAGCATCTTTGACGAGTAAATGTTTCCTCAACCTCATTACATTCAAGGAGCAATATGTAAGAATTCTACACTGAAATAACCACGAAACAGTCTGATGCCTCAATCATGTTGGCTGGAAGGTTAGACTGAAACAGATGTCATTCTCAGCCGGCTGGGGGGTTGTCGGTTTTCTCCTTCAAACAAAACTAAAGTTACTGTTTACAACCCGTGAGCCCGTGGGGTTGCCAAGTCTGCATCGAGCTAAAGCTGCAGCACCTGCATTTGTAATTCGACACTGGCAGGCAAAAAGCTCTAGAGGTGTTTAAAGAATTGAAGCAAGTAAGTAGGTGTGACCCAAAAGTTATTATTTGTACCCTCAAGGTCTAATTTATACTTCTCCGTCTGCGTCGGGACAGAGGCACGCAATGCCATTATCCATGCTTGCGAGGGCTCTCCAGCAGGCTCGCAAAGGTGGGCTGAGTCGAGCTCTCATTTCTAAAAATCCATTCATCGAGACGGAGAACGCCAGCTTGTAATTGGTCAGGACGCTGCCACCATTGTTCCTTAAAAAACATAAATAGCACCAAGGATATCTAGCGGCATACACGGAGAAGCTTGAAGAATACCTTGCGGAAAAACTAACACCCGGAACACACCAGACGCAGAAGCGTGACAATGCGCCGAGATGTGCCGTGTAACGACGAGCGCTTCTAATCAACGCCCTTGTTAAGCTACACTATCGGTCACATCAGCTGCGAAGCGCCGCAAAGGTTCACGCCGTGCAGCGATCGTTTTGGCGTGAGTTGTATTTTTTTCATGAGTCGTGAGTCAGCCGCGTCAAATCTGGCAGGAAATCAAACCAAAACAGAAGAGGCAGGCCGGTAAATTTAACTAAATAAAAGAAACCTTTCAAAATAAAACACTGCGACTGATAAATGTGATCATTTTTGTGTATCTAAACAGAGTAGAGGGATGAAAATGAACACACACACACACACACACACACACACACACACACACACACACACACACACACACACACACACACACACACACACACACACACACACACACACACTCCTGCAAAGAAACATAGCATTTCCATAACTTTAAATGCAGTTTTTACAGGAACAGATGAACAGATAAAAAGTTTCTTAAATAATAATAAAAAAAAAACACAATATAAACACACCATCTTGGACCAGATACATGACATCATGCCACAGAACAGCGCTACGCCCTCTGTTGTCCTGGAGGGGAACTGCTTGCAACACTCCCCAGGAGACGGAGGAGTCTGAGGGCAAATTGTCTCCGTCTGTGCGTGTTTCTCCCTCATAAAAAACTTATTATACAAGTATAAATTGGGCTTAAAAAGCTGAAACATGTTTTTGTTTTACCCTAGTATGGGGTAAAGAAGTCTAAAGGCTAATGTTGAGCTAACAATGCTATCGATGAATTATAAGCAAACAGTCACCTCTAAATATATCCCAATCTACTTTTTCAATTACCAACAACTCCAAATGACAGTGAAATGTATTTGTGGATTATTTAATAATTTACTGAGTCATTCAGAATTATAACAGCAAGATGTCAAAAAAGAAAAAAAAAAACACACACTTCCTCCAATGCCAGAGGCATATTACCGTAATGAGTGCTCCAGACTGTAAAACACCCATGAGTGTTAGCACCAGATATGACAATGCCGTTATCTACTTATAGACTTACTGTGTATGACTCATCTCTCTTGTCATCTAGAATCTTCTGGCGATGATTCATAACTGGCAACAACCATGAAACTCACAAAGCACGAGTGAGAAAGCAACTTTTTGTGTTGGAAAATGTGCTGGAGTACCCAAATTTGACCACAAGTTGTCAGTCTTACTTCATCCTTACATAATACACCTTTAAGACATTCATGTCTGTTGATGTATTTATTGTTTCATATACGATAAATTGAACAAAATAATATTTTCATTTCCCAAACTGTTTTCTAAATAAAAATAAACAACTTGAAATCTCTAAGTATGCCTGCCACTGGAGGTATGTTGAGAATTAAAACTCCTCCCCCCCGATAACTGCTTCATGCACACAGAGGAACTTAAGAAGGTAATTATGAGCAGCACATTGCCACTGTGTGATCACACATATTTCTTTTAAACACATGATTAGACGTTATAACACAGATAAAGGCCATAATTAGATGATGTCTTGAAGGTTTCCTGCAGAGCCGTCGGTTACAACTTGATTTTACATTAAAAGCATAGAGACAGGCAAGAAAAACAGCTTTCGTTGTGCAGCAGGTCAGCACTGGAGTCAAACATATTTGTCTTTCTTCGCAGGAGCATCCACAGGGAATGGGATTCCTCATCATTCTTTCCAAAAGGCTCCACGTTTTGATGTCTTAGTGACCTATTTACTTCTAGAGAATGTGAATTTTGAGTGATAAAAACAAAAATCAGATATGATCCCAGTGAACAATGCTTGAGTATAATCATGTTCTGTGATTTTTGTCCCTCGCTGCTGCTGTTTCTATTTGTCTGCAGGTCAGCAGGCTACAAAGGAAGGTGCAGCTTTAATCTGGAATCTGATTTAAAAAGGAAAAGGACTTACTTCAACCATTTACAGCCACTTGCTTACAATCCCCTGTCAACTTAGTTACACTTTTATGCGTATTGTCCTGTTACTTTTCTGTGAGACTCTAAAATAACCGATACATTCCCTCAATTGCCAAAGCTCAGAAAGAGCCATTACTGTTCAACTTGACAGCAGCCAAAATAAGAAGGGGCTCCATTTATGGTGATTTTATTTATGAGGCCTGAGAACATGTTCATCTCTGGAAAAATCACCTCAAATGAGCCAAATTTTAGAAAGACAACATGTAAGACTCGTGAAAATGTTCAGGGTGATTAAAAGTTCTTTAAAGTGGTGTGTGAAATAAGTGTGTGTGCCTCTTACAGGTGGGGCTGCCAGCCAGCCGTACTTGTCTTCGGTGCGGTTCATGTCGCGGTCAAAAGCGTAGAGCTGGCGGTAGCGGAGGTGATCCGTATCCAGCAGGTTAAACTGCCGTCGGGCGTAGTGGTAGCTCTGATTGTTACCTTCCCTGGGGAAGTCCAGCCACTCAGGATGGCCAAACTCATTTCCTGCAACACAGAGAGCGTTATTAAAGAATGTACATAATGAAGGAAAAGGCACGTCGTTGCTGCATTAGCATACTCTATCATGTCGTGCTTTATGAGGTTCTTTCCTCTGAGGTTTTCACGGAAATTTGAACAAGACAAAAAAAATTTTAAAAGATCAAACAGACAAAAGTCATGGACTGTGTTCAACCTTTTAATCACTCCAGAGGATAGCACATTCAGTCATGCAAAGTAGAAACACCGGGCACATAAATCCACTCTTCCCAACTGAGACAAATGAACAGGATCTATTTATAAACCATCATAACTTATATATTACTTCTGCAAAGCTAAGCAGACTGCATGTCATCCTTAGGAATAAGGAGACGGTGTAAAGAAAAGTACAATTTCAGAAAACCTTAAGCACAAAACAGGGCTGGCAGATGCCGTCTTGATGGTAATTAAAATAGGTTTACGGAAACTTAACAAAATCTATTTCTTCACAAACAAAAATGCAATTTTTTTTAATAATCTGTTAATTAAAAAGGAAAAGCATCTGCTGCTGTGAATAAAACCTTCAGGGCTAGCATCAATATTTCATAAAGCTGCATGAATAGTGTGGAGGTATATGAAACAACACTCCGGATGTTATGATCCTGTCATCCGAGGAAATGAGATAATGAATCCGTCATCGGATGTCATGACAACATAAAGCAATAGCCGGCATAATTGAATTCCCAGCAGAGAAACAAACAGACAATGGGTGTAGGAAGAAGCCACTGCAGCGAATAAATACATTTAAATAAAAAAAATAAATAAATAAAATACAAACAATTGAGTGAAGTGGAACTGACGGCAACTGACAGCTAATTCTAATGGAAAAAAAATAATGAAGGGGTTAAATAAAAATGGGAAATAAAAAGGATCAACAAATAAAAAAACTGGTAAGAAAAATACAAAACTAAACTTCACTGTTGCTTCAAAATCACGACACCAACAACACAAAGAAGAGATAGACGTGAAGTGGATGAGCAAAAAAAGAGGGAAGCCAGAGAGGGATCCTCTCTTTGTGACACCTGGATGAACAAGAAGCCTCCCACACAACATTAAATATGGAGAATTATACCTCTGGTGGAGAAAAAGTACACTATTGTACCCAAACTCATTGTGTGTGTGTGTGTGTGTGTGTGTGTGTGTGTGTGTGTGTGTGTGTGTGTTATAGAATGGAATTACTGCAATCAACTTAAAGATCTTTTGATACTTCACATGAAAACCAATCAGAAAACTCAGGTGGGTAATGTAAAAATAATCCTGTCTTTAGCAGATGCTTAAAAGTGTGATTTATTCATTTATCTAATACAGGGGTGGAGAACCCTGGTCCATCGAGGGCCACCATCCAGCATATTTTAGTTTCAACCCTGCTTCAACACACCTGGTTTCAATCAGCAGGTGATTAACAAGCTTCTGCAGAGCTTGATGAGCTGCTGAGCAGGCGAATCAACCACTGAATCAGAAGTGTTGGAGCTAAGACATGCAGGATACCGGCCCTCGAGGACCAGGGTTCCCCACTCCTGATCTAATACATTTGCAGTAGGGATGTGAATCTCAGAGCAACTCACAATTTGATTCGATTCCGATTCTCGGGGTGCCAGTTCAATTCAGAATCAATTCTCGATTTAAATCGATTCACAATCAATATTAACAAAGAGTGTCAGTTCCAGGATTAACTACGTTGTTGTGCAAGTTAGTTAAAGCTATGGGAAATGTTTTATTTTACTGGTCACACTAAAAAAAGCTAATTTACAAGGTAAAATAAAGTGATTCTAAAACCGTAAACAGAAACAATCTTTTGACCAAAAGGCAACATTTATTTTTGCTTACCTTGTAAAATATAACAAATCTTTAGTTATCTAACAGTAGCTTTGAAAGTAATACGATCAAATACTTTTTAAGTATGTGTGGAAACAAGTTTAACATTTGAGTCCACAACCTGTTTAAAAAAAGTGTCTCAGATTTGTTACAAAGGAAAATGTGTTCTCTCATTTATCAATAACTTCAAATAAACACATGAGTAATCCTGAGTACTCCCTTATCAACTTAGAAAATAAATATGAGAATCTCAAATTTCTGAGTATGGAAAAAAAATACATTCTAGTCCCCACTTATCAGCAGATTCAAAAATAAATCATCCCAATTTATGGGACCACAAAAGTAAACGGAGTACTGACTCTCCTAACAAAGATAAAAAAAAACAGACAAAAGTGCATCTCGAACCTGTAACATGCCAAACATTTGAGTTCCTGGAATCGATTCCGAACCTTTGTGAGTCCATTCTGAATCTTTATAAATAAGAATCCCGATTCAGATTTGAATCGATTTTTTTCAGCACCTGTAATTTGCAGTGTTCCCTAGTTTAAATCAATGCCTTATTAAAAATACAAAAAAAAAAAAAAAAAAAAAAAACAAAGCCGCTCCTGTTCTGAGAAGCAGAGGTGGGCTGAAAACAGCAGGACTGCTCATTATTATTAATGATAAACACACACCTCGCTTCTGATTGGCTAATAGAACACGTTCAGCCATGTTGCAAAGCTGCTATCGCAAAGACACTCTCTTCTCTCTCTCCTTCCTGTGGGCGAGCACGAGACAAGACAGGTGAGGCTATGAATACAAATTCAAAGTGTGACATAGATATGAGGATTTTCAAATCCTAGAGTTTCACCATCTATTTTCTATCAGAAGCTAATGCAGGAGATAGGTGTAGGAGACTATTTTCATGTTCAGCCGGCAGGAAAAACTCAGTGACAGATTATAACCAAAAATAATAATTAAAAAATGTTTTTTTCAGTGAATTACATTATAGCATCCAGAAATGGTCAGTTTTTCATGTACAGTTGGACCTCTTCAGCATCCGGTCATATGGAGACAGGAGTCTACATTTGTTGCCTTTAATCTGCCGGATCCTGCCATTCCATCAGCTGGAGTCCAGGCCTCTGCAGCTCTTGACACATGATGACATTTTGTCAACAAACTGTTCCAGTTTCAAGGCCTTAAGCTTCCCCTTATCGCTTCTACAGGATTCCTCCTACCTCTGAATAAAAGTGAACATTTTCAGCTCATATGAGTTAAATAATCATGAAATGAAATGAACAATATGGTCAAATGAAATGTTTTGATTAATCTGTGCCTAAGTTAATAAGGTTGAAATCAATATTGTCCTGCAATGATCCATTTGTCTGATAACCAGCGTACGTGACTTGACAAGCTAATCAGACGTACACTTATACACATGACGAGATGATAAAGTTAAAGTATTTTCATACACATAGATATGTTCTTACCCACAAATCAGAGAACCTTCCATCTGAAAGAAGACGTGATGTTCTGAGGGTTGTTTGTTAACACCTCTTAACATGGCACGTCCCGATTGGCCAGGTAATGATAATATGGGAATATTAAAACAAACTTGTTGAGTGAGTCAGTTAGTTTTTGAGCAGATCTCTGGACTGGTCACCGGGGGAATACTCTCTAACCACCGCATCTTTTGACATGCTGTCAAAACCTACATGCTACAGCTGACACAGCAAAACGGTTCCTTCAGCTATTCAGAAACAGCTGTTCTAGACGCAAAACAATTTCATCTATCTGTTGTGATCCGGGAGACAACTCTGGACCGACCTGGTCGTACTGCTGTCTTTTCTACGAACTTCGGTACCTTGGGGTCACCCGACCCCCCGACATCTCGGGTCCGAAAGAGAGTCTCCTCAGGGGTACGTAGAACACAGCAAGATTGCGTCTGATGCGGTTTTGATAAGAACCAACTTCATAGTTTATTGCAGACCAAATTCTTTTCACACCCAGACTCTCTTGGTCAGCTTGCTTCTCACACCAAACCTTCTGTCAGGAGTCTTGGCGTGACCTTTGACCCAGCTCTCACCCTGGATTCTCATGTCAGTTCTCTTGTTCGCTCTTCCTTCTTCCATCTCAGGAACATTGCTAAGCTGAGTCCCATTCTGTCCCGCTCTGAACTTGAGACAGTTCTCCACACCTTCATCTCCTCACGCTTAGACTACTGTAACTCTCTTTTCACGTGTCTGAGCAGAACCTCCCTGAACCGTCTACAGGTGGTTCAGAACGCCTGTGCTCGGCTTCTGACCAAGTCCTCCAAACACACCCACATCACCCCGCTTCTCCTCCAGCTTCACTGGCTGCCAGTCAACTTCAGGGTTCCTTTCTAGATCCTGGTTCTGGTCTATAGGGCCTTACATGGACAAGCACCATCTTACATTGATGATCTTCTTAGTCCAGGGGTGTCCAATCCTGGTCCTGGAGGGCAGGTATCCAGCAGGTTTTGTGTTTTTTCTGCTCCAACAGGCTTGATTCAGTGGTTGAAACACCTGTGCAGCAGCTCATCAGGCTTGGCAGAAGCCTATTAATTAGCTGCTGATTGAAATCAGGTGTGTTGAAACAGAGTTCAAACTAAAACATGCAGGATACCGGCCCTCCAGGACCAGGATTGGACACCCCTGTCTTAGTCCTTACACCCCCAGCAAGTCCCTGAGGTCCAGTGATAAAAGCCTACTGGTTGTGCAGCACCAGGCTAAAGACCAAAGGTGACAGATCATTTGCTGCTGTGGCCCCCAGACTCTGGAACTCTCTCCCCCTGAGCCTGAGATCAGTGGACTCCTTTAAAAAGCAGCTGAAGACTCACTTGTTCAAGCTGGCTTTTGTATGACCTTCTTCAACCACTCTCTCCTTTTTCTGCTCTCCCCACCTATTCCACCTTCCTCAGGATCCACTGATTTCCCTCTTTCCTATTCACTCTCTCTTTCTTAACATATATTTTTATCACAATTGTCTATTTTTGCTCATTTTAAATATATTTTCAAAAATTTTCTAAATGCTTTTTTATATTTTTACATTTTTTGTTTTTGTGAAGCGCCTCGTGATTTTTATCTTGAGAGGCGCTATAGAAATGATATTTTCTTCTTCAGTTTCTTCTACATACAAGGTTCTGATAAACACAC